CCCCAAAACCCCAAAACCCCAAAACCCCAAAACCCCTAGTAAATTTAATTTTATTGAATTATTCATTATAATTTATCAAACGATTGCACTAATGGAGCATATTCAATACAAGCTGCAAGAAGAATACGATATTTACACGATATGAGTTGATAACTGACCCCAACCAGAGAAAAGGCTGCAGTTATTGAAAGATACAAGAGCAAATCGAATAAAAAGTAAGAGATTTGAGGTTGACCTTCCTCCACTGTAACTATTTAATGGTTACCAAAATGACCTTTGTGAGGAATAATTGTGAAACCTGTCATTGTTTATCCAAAATTTCATCAAATCTGACCCTCTGTTTCCTATCTACTTATCCCAAATCTTTTGATTAATTCAGGTTTAAATCAAAACTTGGCTTATTTGGAAATTCCTATAATATTTCTATTTAGAAAGTGATATAAAAATTCCCGAAACAGAAAAGAAAAAGCCTAAAAACAACTTGCCAAAACTGAAGCGAAAATCCCCGAAACCTGTAAGGCTTTCCTCTAAATGGCCCAATCCAGCATTCTAGCTACTAAAATAACTATTTTCTTAGACTAAAACCAAGGTGAAATCTCAGCGAATCCAAAGTAAGCGTTCAGTTAACAGTTTCACAGAGACCAAGTTGAGAATCAAGCAGAATCGATCAGCAAGAGAGATTCAGAAAGTGCAACAAAAGTCCAAGGCAAGCTTGCAGAGCAAAGTTCAAGTAAAACCTAAGAACAATATGAAGCAGGATCTCCAGCTTGTATGTTTCAACTAACCCTGTAGTCTACTCAAAAGAGGAAGAAGGCCAATAGGAGTGAGAATCGGAAGGAATCTCCCCAGAGAAAGCTTAAGCCTGAACAATCCCCTGGCCCTTATGAGGTACCCTTGTTAGTAACTTCTGATAGTCCTCTAAATAAGTTGGATACCCAATCCGAGTCAGCCTCTGAGTCATTCTCGGAACATTCCTTGCAATCAATAAATGAGGAAGAGGACTCTAAAGCAGAGAGTAACTCTCCAAGACAAAATATGAAGAAGAGGAGTTTTACAAACCTTAGGTTCGAGTTCCAGCCTGACATCATGGTCGAGTCTCCTCGGAAAGACGAAATTCCTATTAAAAATCCTCCTGTTCCACAGAAAAGTCCTGAAAGGAAGGGCTCTCCAGAGAATGCTTACTTAAATATAAACACAGGAAATTTTAAGAAGCTTAACACTCTATCTTACAGACATAATAAGCAAGCAAAGAAGAGTCCTGATAAGTCCTCTATCAAGAAGAGCAGTACTAGAACTTCAAAGTGGAGTCAATTATTTAAAAACAGTCAAAAAGGAGGTAAGAAATCACCTGGAAGAACTAAAACCATTGAAAGGAAGTTTACGATGTCCTCCTCTATCTCATCCATCAGGTGCAATAGCAAGAATAGAGGGAGTCAGAAGGTATCGATTAATGTCAAGAAAAACATTGGAAGGAAATCGTCCCTGAACCCATCCGCATTTAGTAAGAAGAACTTGACGAAATAAAGAAAGATTTAAAGCTCTTAATTTGAATATTACAAACAAAGGCAAGAGTAGTTCAGCCAAGTTTACTTCACTGAAATTTTCAGAACGGAAGGCAAGCAAACCTAGGAACAAGAAGATAGAGCTTGATCCATCCCTTGAACGATCACTCGAGAGAATTTCTAAAAATGATATATTGGCATCAAGGTAATTCCTCCATCCTGATTTTTCTAGCATAAGTAAGCATAACGATCCCACTATTGGGAAAATATTATCGAGAAGGACAGAAATGGACAGTGGGGTTTCTCATGAAGATCTCCAACTTATTGGAGACTTAAAAGACTCAATCCACGAGCATGCATCTCCTTGCAATGGATCCACACTATCTATCGATAAGAAAACGCTCAAGTTGGCAGACTCAATCATCAAGAAGAAGATTTTAGAAAATAACATCTATCCAAACCAATCAATCATAAAGACTTATGGGTCACAAAAGACGGCTAAATACGGAATTAGCATGTATAATCCCTCTATTAACTATGAAACACTCAAGAAGTTCTTCTCAGTGAAACTAGTCAAGTCCAACAAGGAAATACTTAACGTAAGCCTTTGTATGACCCGTAGAGAGTCGGAGCTGGCGAAAAGGGGAAAACTGTATCTCGATGGAAAGAAGAGTTCCAACTCATAAAAACACCAAAGAAGTAAGTCCTTGAACTTTTGGAAAAATTCAATTGTAATAAGGTTTTTAGACAAAAGAAGTGGGAGATCGGGATCCACAAGAAAGTCGATAAATACATCAGCAGGAACTCTGCAAAATAATAGAATGTATATGAGCTCGACTCAAAATAAGAATATGTTTAAGATTAAGCCACAGTGTATTAACCAGAGAAGTGAATCTACAAATTTTCCTCCTATCCATGGATCTCAGACATCGATCAAATGGAATCCTTCCAAAGATAATGGGCTCAGGATTTCCTTAGACTCAACTCCCTATTTAGTATCTCCAAATCCTGCAAGGAATGAGCAGTCAGGCTCGATTGGGGCATTTCCAATGAGATCCTCAGGATTTGACTCGATCAGAAAAGAGCTAAAGAAGCTCCCAAAAGAAAACGGTAGCAAGTACGACCATCCTATGGACCCATCCAAGCAGAATGGCCCTAGGACTGTCAAGATAAACAAGAAATAAGCTCACTAATTTAAGTTCTATTAAGAAGAATAATTTTATCTCAAAAGTGAGTTTCGGTTTAACCTCTTCAGGTATACGACACACAGGGAACCCAGAACTCGAGACACTCAATAGACTTCATCCAGATGAACAAACAAGCGAGTGGAAGGAACGTCAGTAAGAACAGCTATGAAAAGAAATTAGAGATGAATATCAGTAAGTATGCTTGAGGGTAAAGTAACCAACTTCGATGCTTCTTCGCCAATCTCTATGTCACTGCTGACTGTTTATATAGGTAGGGTTCAGTTACCAAAGATTTAGCCTTAAGTAGTCCAACCTATCTAATTAATAATATTAATTCAGTCATTTGAAACAGATGCGGGGTTTTGGGGTTTTGGGGTTTTGGGGTTTTGGGG